AAAGAAAACAGGTTTTAGGCCTAGCATAGTGGCTCATGCGTGTAATTTCAGCACTTTGGAAGGCCGAGGCAGGAGAATTGCTTGAGCCCAGGGGTTGGGACTGACCTGGGCAGCACAGCAAGACCCTGTCTCTACAAAAAATTTAAAAATTAACGAGGTTCGATCTTGCTCTGTTGCTCAGACTGGAGTGCAGCGGCACAAACATGGCTCACTGCAGCCTTGACCTCCTGGGCTCAAGCCATCCTCCTGCCTCAGCCTCCTGAGTAGCTGGGCTATACTACGGGTGAGTGCCATCACATCTGGCTGGCCATCCTGATTTAAAATGCAGCCCCCCAGCTTCTCCACCTTTGCATCTTTGCACCCTCTACCCTGCACCCCCCAGCCTTATTTTTCTTTCACAGCAATTACCACCATCTGACATGCTGAATATTTTACTGAATCCATAAGGGCAGGGACTTTTGTCTTTGTTGTTAATTCAATTATCTCCTCAGTTCCTAGAGTAGGCGCATGCTAAATGCTCAGAGAATATTGGTTTCATTAAATAATCTATTAATTCCTTGGATTTTCTAACCATCTGTAGCAAAAAAAAATATTAGAACTGAGATCAATGACTCGGGATCATAGGAGAGCTGTGCCTAAGGCCCTGGAAACCAACTCACACACCCACATTTTTTGCCTTTCCCAAAATTGGGAGAATAAATCAGCCAATTTTTGTCATTTCTGTATATTATGGACTGACAGAAATGTGTCCTCATTCCCCCATCCCCATTCATATGGTGAGGCTCCAGTCCCTCCGAATGTGACTGCATTTGGAGACAGTGCCTTTAAAGAGGTAATTAAGTTAAAATGAGGCTGTTAGGATGGGCCCTGATCCAATCTTGTTGGTGTCCTTACAAGAAGAGGAAATTTGGACACACAAAGAGACACCAGGGATGTGCACACACAGAGGAAAGGCCGTGTGAGGACACAGTGAGAAAGCAGCCAGCTGCGAGTGTCTTAGTTCACTTTGTGCTGCTATAACAGAATATTGGTGTCTGGGTACTTCATAAAGAACAGAAATTTACCATCCTGGCTAACACAGTGAAACCCCATCTCTACTAAAAATGCAAAAACATTAGCCGGGCGTAGTGGCGGGTGCCTGTAGTCCCAGCTACTCGGGAGACTGAGGCAGGAGAATGGCGTGAACCCAGGAGGTGGAGCTTGCAGTGAACCGAAATCGCGCCACTGCACTCCAGCCTGGGCGACTGAGCGAGACTCCATCTCAAAAAAAAAAAAAAAAAAAAAAAAGAACAGAAATTTATTTCTCACAGTTCTGGAGGCTGGTAAGTTCCATGTCAAGGTACTGGTATCTGACAAGGGACTTCTTGCTGTCTCATCTGGTGGTGGAGGAGCAAAAGGGCAAGAGGGGGCAAAAGCAAGAGACATACGGGGGCTAAACTTGTCCTTTTATAAGAAACTTACTCCCTCAATAATGACATTAATTTATTCACGAGAGGAAGAGCCTCCATGGCTTAATCACCTCTTAAAGGTCCCACCTCTTAATATCATCACAATGGCAATTAAATTTCAACATGAGTCTGCAAGGGCACAAAATTCAAAACACAGCAACAAGCCAAGGAGAGAGGTCTCAGGAGAACCCAATTATGCAGACACCTTGATCTTGGACTTCTACCCTCCAGAACTGTGAAAAAATAAATGTTTGCTGTTTAAGCCATCCAGTCTGTGGTATTTTGTTATGGCACCTGAACTAATTAAGACACTGTAGCCCTGAATCAGTGGCTCAGGCCTGTAATCCCAGCACTTTGAGAAGCTAAGGCAGGGAGATTGCTTAAGTCCAGGAGCTCAAAACCAGCATGGACAACATGGCAAAACTCCGTCACTACAAAAAATTTAAAAATTAGCCAGACATGATGGTGCAGGCCTGTCGTCCCAGCTACTTGGGAGCCTGAAGTGGGAAAATCACTTGAGCCTCAGAGTTTGAGGCTGCAGTGAGCCATGATTGTACCATTGCACTCCAGCCTGGGTGACAGAGCAAGACCCTGTGCTTAAAAAACCATACACTTAGATGCCCAGCAGTTTGACCAAATGGAAATCTATCTCTGCTTTCTCATGGAGATCATCATCACAGTGAATCAGAGGTTATTGTCACCAACACCCTCACAATAGTACCTAGAGGAATCAGTGCTTCCCACAGGTAATGCATTTTTGGCCTGGCGGGATGGATTCTCTCAGGCCGGGAAGGCAGTCATATGGCAGTGGGGACAGCAGCAAGCAGCATCTTGCTGTAGATGTGTATTCCAGTGGCTTGCCCACAGTCCCTTTGTCAGTGGGGCAGAAGGAAAGGACCACAGGATTTCTCAGAGAGAAAGAAGGAAGATCCTCCTTCATAAAGTCAAATCAAATTAGCTGGGCATGGTGGTGCACGCCTGTAATCCCAGCTATTTAGGAGACTGAGGCGCGAGAATTGCTTGAACCCAGGAGGCAGAGGTTGCAGTGAGCTGAGATTGTACCACTGCACTCCAGCCTAGACAGAGTGAGACTGTCTCAAAGAAAAAAAAAATTAGAAAGTCAAATAAAAAGATAAACCAATGGTGATGGTTTCACAGCAATGTGCATATACTTAATACAATTGAGCCAAACACTCAAAAATAATTAAAATGTGAAATTTTAAGCCAGGTGCAGTGGCTCATATCTGTAATCCTAGGACTTTGGGAGGCCAAGGTGGGAGAATCTCTTGAGCCCAGGAGTTCTAGACCAGCCTGGGCAATATAGCAAGACTCCATCTCTACAAAAAAATTAATAATTAGGCCAGCTGCGGTAGCTCACGTCTGTAATCCCAACACTTTGGGAGGCCGAGGTGGGCGGATCACCTGAGGTCAGGAGTTCGAGGCCAGCCTGGTCAACGTGGCAAAACCCTGTCTCTACTAAAAATACAAAAATTATAGGTGGTAGGCACCTATAATTCCAGCTATGGGGGAGGCTGATGCAGGAAAATCGCTTGAACCCGGGAGCAGTTGTTGCAGTGAGCCAAGATCACACCATTGCACTCCAGCCTGGGCAACAAGAGTGAAACTCAAAAATAATAATAATTAATTAATAATTAGCCAAGTTAATTAATTAACCAAGACACGTGGTGGCACATGTCTGTAGTCCCAGCTACTAGGAAGACTGAGCTGGGTGGATGGCTTGAGCCAGGGAGGTGTAGGTTGCAATTAGTGGAGATCATGCCACTCACTCCAGCCTGTACAACAGAGCAAAACCCTGTCTCAAAAATAAATGATAAAATATGATAAAATGTGAAATGTTTTTAAAAGACAAATTGAGTTATTGTTAAGAAAAGACTAAAAGCTAAATAATAATACAAAATGTTATATCCATAAAGATCATATAAGGAGTGCCATAAGCCGGGTGAGGTGGTTCATGCCTGTAATCTCAGCACTTTGGGAGGCCGGGGAGGGCAGATCACGAGATCAGGAGATTGAGACTATCCTGGTCAACATGGTGAAACCCTGTGTCTACTAAAATACAAAAAACAAAAATTAGCCAGGTGTTGTGGCATGCACCTGTAGTCCCAGCTACTCAGGAGGCTGAGGCAGGGGAATGATTTGAACTTGGGAGGCAGAGGTTGCAATGAGCCAAAATCATGCCACCGCACTCCAGCCTGGCAACAGAGCAAAACTCCGTGCGTGCGCGCACACAAAACACATGCACACACACACAGAGTGGCATAATTCGCACATGGTACAAAAGGGCCAAAGGAATAAAGGGAAGTGGGGGCCAAGTAGAGTAGGAGCCTTGCTGGAAGAGCAGAATGCAAAAGGATCTCGTAGCATGGAGAGATTTTAGAGATACGTTGAGAGGGAATTCAGTGCAACCCACCAGGAGAAGAAGGGCCATGGTGTGTGACTGGCCACATTCCTAAGTCTCCTTCTCACATGTGGCAATTATCCCAATTTCCCGAAAGTCACTTTATATTAGCATTTGGCAGAGCATGTTTCTCAAGAGAGTTAACATACACTCCAGACTAAAAACCAAACAAACAACAAATGAAATTGAAAATGTTGTGGTTAAATAGGTGCCTTTACTGCAGAACTTCTCAGAACTCAAAGTACATCTGTAAATCTCTCCCAGATGATTAGGCCATAGATCCTATTTTCCCAAAAGAATCTCAAAGAACTGGTATTTTGGGAAGCACCACTTTAAACCTTCTGGATAGTGCCAGTGGGTGGAAGAGGGCAGCCAACCCATGGTGAGCCACACGGCGGAAAGTACCGAACCAAAGCAGCTGTCAGGCCTGACACTGTGCCTTCAGACCCGAGGACGCTTGCTAATGAGCAGCTGGGGCAGAGGACAGTGATACAGCCAGTGAATAGCATTAGGGTATGGCTGACTCCAAAAAAAAATTAAGAGTATTGTCTTTACGTGACCCTGTGCTAAAAAACTTCACCTCACAACACCCTTATCAAGTAGGCTATAAAATCACTTTCACTTTAGTGCTAAAAAGGCTGAAGTACTTTGCTTAAGGTCACACAGCTAGTGACAGAAACAGGCTTACATCCAGTTAGGGAGATGATTCCAAGAGCCCTCAAAAGTCACAGCTTGGAGCAGAAATCAACTACAGGAAGCAGCTGGGATTGCTCTACCATCTCAAGAAGAACTAGTAAGCGTCAAGGCTGAGGTGAAAGCTCAGAAGCAGACGGTTTTACTGAAACTGGGCAGAACTTGAAACTGGGCTCAGGGTAGAGAAAGATGACACAGGGAACAGAAGCACTTGGAGGTCAAGCACAACACAGTTTAGAGACTCACGAGCTCTGTGAAGGGTCGAAAAGATTCTCATGGGGTAGCTGCCAGCTATTGCTTTTCCTGCTGGCGGCGTCCGCCACAGCAGCTGGAACACACTGACATTTCCTGTGTTCCAGCCACAACAGTGTAAGGTTCTTGTGAAAACTTACCCTCAAAATAGTTGATGCTACAATTATTTGTTTTGCAGTTTTACTTACCACAGTAGGTGTATGAAATACTTGCGTCGGATGAGTTACAGACCCAATAGTGCTTCTGAGCTTCAGTAAATATGGAAGAAAATAGGGTGGAAAAAAACAGAAATGGTAACATGATTCAATATCTCCAAAACTTTACAAATGCAAAGAGGATCAATAGCTAATCATCAGACTCTTCCTTTTCAGTAAGCAGAAAAGATTTAACTTAGTCATCGGTCACATGATTTCTGAGTTCCCATCCAACTGTTTCCTCTTTTTGTGTGTGTGTGTGCTTAACATTTGAGCACTTCCTGCAAAGGAAGAGAGAAAAATGATTTAGAATGTACTCTTCAAATACTTACTGTAAATGAGAGTGATCAAAGCCTTAAAAATAAAACAAGACACTTTGGCCAGGTGTGGTGGCTCACGCCTGTAATCTCAGCATTTTGGGAGGCCAAAGCAGGTGGATCACTTGAGGTCAGGAGTTCAAGACCAGCCTGGCTGACGTGGTGAAACCCATCTCTACTAAAAATACAAAAATTAGACAGGTGTGGTTGGTGCACGCCTGTAATCCCAGCTATTCAGAAGGCTAAGGAAGGAGAGTCACTTGAACCTGGGAGGCAGAGGTTGCAGTGAGCCGAGATGGCACCACTGCACTCCAGCCTGGGCAACAAAACTCCATTTCAAAAAAAATTTTTTAATGAAAAATAAAATAAAATAAACAAGACACTTCCCAGTCAACTGTAACAAAACCAGTCCCTAGGTCCCCCTGAAAGTCTCAACAGACAGGAACCCCTTTTCCCTCTGCATTGCTCTTCTCTCCCACAGCTCTGTATACCAGCAGTTCCCAACATTTTTGGCCTCAGGGACCAGTTTCTTGGAAGACAATTTTTCCACGGACTGAGGGGATGGGGAGGGATGGTTTTGGGGTGAAACTGTTCCACCCCAGATCATCAGGCATTAGATTATCATAAGGAGCATGCAACCTAGATCCCTTGCATGTATACTTCATAACAAGTTTCCTGCTCCCCCCCTGGGAATGTAATGCTGCTGCTGATCTGACAGAAGCTGGAGCTCAGGTGGTAATGCTTGCTCACCTGCTGCTCACCTCCAGCTGTGCAGCCCAGTTCCTAACAAGCCACAGCCAGATTCCTAACAGGCCATGGACTGGTACTGGTCCACGGCCCCCAGCGGATGGGGACTCCTACTTTATAAAACAAATTCTCAGCCGGGCATGGTGGCTCATGCCTGTCATCCCAGCATTTTGGGATACTAAGGCGGGTGGATCACTTGAGGTCAGGAGTTCAAGACCAGCCTGGCTAACATGGTGAAATTCTGTCTCTACTAAAAATACAAAAATTAGCGAGGCATGGTGGTGCACACCTGTAGTCCCAGCTACTCGGGAGGCTGAGGCAGGAGAATCGCTTGAACCCAGGAGGAAGAGGTTGCAGTGAGCCAAGATCGGGCCACTGCACTCCAACCTGGGCGACAGAGTGAGACTTGGTCTCAAAAACAAACAAACAGGCCGGGTGCAGTGGCTCACCTCTGTAAATACCAGCACTTTGGGAGGCCAAGGTGGGCAGATCACCTGAGGTCAGGAGTTTGAAACCAGCTTGGCCAACACAGTGAAACCCTGTCTCTACTAAAAATACAAAAATTAGCCAGGTGTGGTGGCAAGTGCCTGTAGTCCCAGTTAATCAGGAGGCTGAGGCAAGAGAATTGCTTGAACCCAGGAAGTGGAGGTTGCAGTGAGCCAAAATCATGTCACTGCACTCCAGCCTGGGTGACAGAGCGAGACTCCATCTCAAAAAACAACAACAACAACAACAAATCAAATTATCATGGCCCAGAGAGCTGCACTTATGGATCTGAAGTGAACAGTCTCATGGGAACTATTTCTTTTCAGCAGCAGGTTTAGTTACAGGACACAACAGGGCCAGATAAGACCCCAAACAGGGGACACTAGCTGTAATTCTGTGCTGTGGGCAGGGACTCCACCAGTCTTAATAATGCATTCACCTACAACAAGCTAGACCTCAAGAGAACATTTTGAGTCCTAATAATGAAATGTCATCATTTTGTTGTGACGTGTATTTCATTTCAAAACTCTTACTCCATTTTAGAAAGCCAGCTATTCCTTTAGATATTTTGCTACTTGAAATCCTTTATAGGATATAGTTTAGGGTTAGTAGCCAAAAATGGCATGGAATTTTGGCTAAAAATCTGCACACTTAAGAAGAAAATAATATGTTGGTAAAAATATTTTACAACAGAAGTGTGTTTCTTTCCATTTTTTTAGAGACAAATCTCACTGTGTTGCCCAGGCTGGGGTGCAGTGGTTATTCTCAGGTGTGATTCTAACACACTGCAGCCTCAAATTCCTGGGCTCAGCTGGGACCACAGGTTTGAGCCATGGCTGTTGGCCCTGCCATTTTCAAAAATGCAAAAGTCCAAGGGAGGAGGGGGAAATAGGGAGTTGTTCAATGGACATAGAGTCTCAGGTTGACAAGATGAAGGAGTTCTAGAGATCTGTTGCACAACAATGTGAATATAGTTAACACCACTGAACTCTATGCTTAAAACTGGTTAAGATGGTAAATTCTTTAAAAAACACAATTTTAAAATAAATTTAAAAGATGGGAAAAAAAGGCAAAATCCATGAACACCCTTAGCAGTCTCAAAATACCATTTCCCACTATAAGCAACCAGCACTCCTTGGAGTCTGGGGTAGAAAATGTACAAAATGAGCCTAAAACACTTTGTTATATTAGATAGCCAATTTGAAGATGGTGCCACTGACCAAAGACAGGTGTTTCTAGTTTCCTATAATGGCTGTAACAAATTGCCAAAAGATTTCATGGCTTTAAACAACATAGCCTGGGCACAGTGGCTCATGCCTGTAATCCCAGCACTTTGGGAGGCCAACGCGGGCAGATCACCTGAGGTCAGGAGTTCGAGACCAACCTGGCCAACGTGGTGAAACCCCATCTCTGCTAAAAATACAAGAAATGAGCCAGGCGTGGTGGCAGGCGCCTGTAATCCCAGCTACTCGGGAGGCTGAGGCCCAAGAATTGCTTGAACCCAGGAGGCGGAGGTTGTAGTAAACAGATTGCGCCACTGCACTCCAGCCTGGACGACACAGCAAGACTCCATCTCAAAAAACAAACAAAAACTGTAGATGTATTCTCTTACGGTTCTGGAGGTCTGAAGTCTGAAATCAGTTTCACTGTACTAAAGTCAAGGTGTCAACAAAGCTGTTTCCTTCTGGAGACTCTAGGGGAAGAATATGTTTCCTTGCCTTTTTCAGCTTTTAGAGCTACAACCCTTGTATTTCTCCATCTTCAAAATGCATCACTTCAATCTTTTTTTTTTTTTTTTTTTTTTTTTTTTTTGAGACAGCCTCCCTCTGTCGCCAAGCCTGGAGTGCAGTGATACAATCTCGGCTCACTGCAACCTCTCCCTCCCAGGTTTAAGTGATTCTCCTGCCTCAGCCTCCTGAGTAGCTGAGACTACAGGCACGCGCCACCACACCCAGCTAATTTTTGTATTTTTAGTAGAGATGGGGTTTCGCCATATTGGTCAGGCTGGTCTTGAACTCCTGATCTTGTGATGCGCCTGCCTCCGCCTCCCAAAGTGCTGGGATTACAAGTCCTGAGCCACTGCGCCTGGCCCACTTCATCACCTTCTGCTCTGATTTCATGCCTCTTTCTTATAGGGACCTCAGTGATTACAATGGACCCAGCTGGGTAATTCAACACAATCCAAATTAAAATCCTCAATTTAATCACATCTGCAAAATTCCTTTTGCCATGTAAGGTAATATTCACAGCTTCCAGTGATTAGGAGGTGAACATTTTGCGCCATTATTTAGCCTATCCATATGACTATATGAACATTAATAAGATAGTAATTGCAATAAGTTGAAATACTTTAATATATTTAAATCCATAAGCTCATAATATTTTATTTATCATTTTTGTGAGACAGGATCTACCTCTTTCACCCAGGCTGGAGGGCAGTGGCATGATCACAGCTCACTGCAACCTTAAACTCCTGGGCTCAAGTGATCCTCCCTCCTGAGCTTCCAAGTAGCTGGGACTACAGGCATACACCCCTATGCCCAGCTAATTTTTTTAGTTTTTTCTTAGAGACAGGGTTTCACTATGTTGCCAGGGCTGGTCGCAAACTTCTGGCCTTAAGCAATCCTCCCTCAGCCTCCTAAAGTGGTGCCCAAAGTGGTGGGATTACAGGCGTGAACCACCGTGCCCAGCCTCATAACGTATTTTTTAAGTCTACTTACCAACAGATGATGCTAGGAAACCAAATCTATTTTTAAAACTAGCAAATAAAAGGACAGAATCAAGCATTTATCCTGACTTTTCCACACAAACTGAACTACTCAGTTACCAAATAGCAGAGAGGGGCAAATTTCTCTTGCCTTCTTGTGCTTTTAGCTCTATTTTTAGAAGTATTTCAGCTAATAAGTGAAAAAGGAATAATAGAATATAACCATTTTTCAACATCTAATGAATTGATGGACTTACGCATTGAGCATCAATGGTTGCTACCATCACAAAGACAAAACAACATTATGTACCTCTTAATGGGAGAATACTACGGGGACTGGCCTCCAAATAGCTCCCAATGATCCTTACCTCCTGGTGTACAGGTCCTTGTGAATCCCCTCCAACATCGAATAAGGCTGACTATGTAACCAATAAAGTATTGTGCAATGACAGTGTGCAAATTTCATGTAGGTCACACAACACATTGTATAACCTTACTGTCTTGGATCACTTACTCTGGGAGAAGCAAGAAGCACTAAAGAGAGATCCATGTGGTGAGAAACGGAGGCCTCCTGCCAAAGAGCTAGTACCACACTCTCAGTCTTGTAAGTGAGCCATCTTGGAAACGGGGGGTTCCTCATGCCCCAGCCCAGCCTTCAGATGACAGCAGCACCAGCTACCTCCTGAGAGAGCTTGAGCTAAAACCACTCAGCTAGGCCACTCCTCATTTCCACACCTACAGACACTGTGCAGTGTTAGAAATGTTTATTGTGGCTTTAAGCATGTAAGTTTTAGGGGTAATTCGTTACGCAACAAGATAACAAATATGATCATCTATAAAAGTAGTTTTGTCCAAAATAATCAAATCTCACTCTGGTGAAGTTTTAAGATCTACTTATCAATTTATAGGAAATATAGAAGACAGAGAAACATGTTAA